TTTATATAAACAAAGATATATATATATATATATATATATATATATATATATATATGTTCAATTTAATTATCTTGATAAGACATGTTATCAATTTAATTAATTAATGTTTATAATTTAAGGTGGAGAATGTATTTTTTGGGAATTGTGCGGTCGCGAAGAATTTTTAGCATCTTATCATTATGTACTTACTTTTCAACAACCTGCTGTACATCTTATTACAGTTAGTCTGAGAGAACCACTTACTGTACAACTTCAGCAAGTAAAATTTTGGTTACGATTTATTTCAGATCGTATTGCATCAACTAATTTTGGTAAGTTAATTAATCTATTACAAGAAATATATATATAAACATAATTATTTATTATATATAGATTTTTCAAATAAAAAATATTGATATTTAATTTTTTATATAATAGGTTTTGGTGGTAAATATAATGATTTAAAAGTAATTTTGGTTGGTACTTATGCTCCAGAACCTCTTGCCCCAAATTCAAATAGTGGTAGTCTACTTGCCCCACTATTACCTTTTTTAAAAGAGTTCACTCCAATTTTGGGAGATGAACCACAAATGGTCGCAGTGGATGCAACTAATCCTTCTAGTCCTGGTCTGAAACTTCTAAGATCTTACTTGAATAATGCAAGGATGGAATTTTTAGAGGTGAAGTGATTATACATATTTATAACATTTGTCATATTTTTTACACATATTATAAAATAATTTTTTTATATTATTTAATTATTACAAATTAAAACTATTATTACGAGTCTCTCAATTTAACCGAGATTCTTTAATAACTCGTAATTAATTCTTGATCAAATTTGATAAAATAATAATAGATTTAAATTTTGAATTTTGGATTAAATTTTTAAAATGCACCAAGTAAATATTGCATGTCATCATTCAAAATATTAAGTTAGGAAAATTAAAATCATTGTATCAAAATCATTTTATTTATATTATGAATATAGAATGTAAATCATATTTAAATATATCATTCCATTATTATATTATTGATAATTTTTCTAAGGTAGAAAATATATTATTAATAGTAATAAGTACTCTTGAATATTTATGGTTTACATTCAAAAGTCATTGTTCAACATGAAAACCTTAAAATTTGCAATCATTTCATGCTTGGTTGCACGAGCGACTCGTTCAATAAAATAAAAAAAAATGATATATTAAGAAAATTTATGCCTAATATATAATATATAAAAAGGTTTAGGTTCAGCTTAATATATTTATGTACATAATTATACTTCCACATTTTTTTACAGGGATATCGCCAATGTTTGTACAGCATGCAATAAATGTGTGCATTAACATTTTTCAAAACTAATCAGAATCGAGTCATTTCATTTGCATAGTGCTAATTACGTTTAAATGATTCACATTTCTTTGATTTCAAATCCTGCAATACTATGTTGAACAAATCATTCATTCTTAAATATAATGCAATATTTTTGGTTGAAGTTATGATTCTGTAATCCATGATCATTTCATGATGCATGGTTGATTTAATATATATGTACAAGTAATTAAGCTCACCAAATATGATAATTTATATTATTCATACTTTTCGATTAAAATAATTATTTGCGACATTTAATCAAGCACATTCCTTAAAAAATAGATATTATAAGTAAATTTTCTCAAATCTGCTATCACTTTATCATGTGATCAATTTACTAACGACATATATTTTAGTTGCTGATTATTTGGTCATTAACGTTTATTAACATCAGCCTTACTGCATGCAATGCATGATGTAGGAAGGACCGGAAGTTGCAGAAAGTATTCTCCGACGTGACACGCCGCGGGCTGCGGCCTCGTACGTGCCCTTGACGAATCTTGATAAACAGGTCGAACTATTTCTCAATTCCTTTGATAAAAGTGAAATGCGTATAATGAAGCTGTAATTTATTTAATAATTGCTCTAATGCTTTATCCCATTAATACATACGTGCACTACTGTCCAATGCAATTAAAAAATTACTCTTGTATATATTTTCTGCATCAGTGTATTATCTAATATTTTTTCCCTATATTTTATTATTAAAAGTAGCTAATTTTATTATAGAGTGCACTAGTATGGACTGGTCTTGCAGAATCTTGGAGATCGTATGTGCAATCTTTAGAAGTACCTCCAGTTATGCTCACACAGGAGGAATTTTTGAAGGAAGTAAGAAAAATTAATCCATTAGTTTCTTTAGAGCATTGTAGACATCTTGGATTACAGTTACAGGTTTGTATTTTTACCATTATAATTTTTGTAATTTATAATTACAATTATATTAACTATATATTAATTTTTAGAATTTAGGGGAATGTATGCTTCTTCCTGGGAATTTAATAGTTTTAAGTCCAGAATGGTTTTGGCAGGATGTAATAAATTGGCAATTAAGTTTAGAACAACGAGGACGTCTAGGTGGTCGTACTACAGGTGTTTATGCTTTAGAAGATTTTCAGGCTCGTTGTCCTTGTCCTGCAGGACAAGCTTTGCAAGCTTTACAAGCTGTAAATTTATGTGTACCAGTATGTATTAAAGTATTTAATATTTTGAATTTTATATCAAAAAAATTGTAAAATCATATAAAAATTATAATAAAATTATAATAAAATATGTAATTTTATTTCAGTGTGAAGTAGATGATGATGAAGTAGAATATGAAATACCATGTTTGAATCTTGTTGAGCGTTTACCAGGATTATGGGAACCATGGAAACCATGTTCTAATGTTTTGCCTCATACTGGTCTTCGTCTTTGTCCATCTGAAGCACCATTATATCATTTAATTGCAGTATTTCCACATTTACAAGTATGTAATAATGATAAATATCTATGCAATTAATTAATTTTTTTTATTAATAATAAACATAATAAATTTAAAATCATAAAAAATATAATATATTTAAAATCAAATTTTTAATAATGATATAATATTATATATAGGCACAATTAAGAAAAATTACTCAAACATGGGATCCATCAAATTCAGATTTATATCAATGGTGGAGAGGATCAAAATTATGTATCGGTCCTTGTGAAAGTATTATTACTTTTGAAGAAGAAGAACAGAGTTGTATAGAGATAAGAGTACGTGGACCGCGAGGTACCAGTGCTCAGTGTTTTGCTCTTTTCAGTATTATTCTCGATGCTATTGAAACGACAATTGAATTAGTTGCTCCTGGCATGTTACTTGAAAGATACTGGCTAAGTCCTAGTCAACTTCGCGAATATGATGAGGTTAGTTATTTATTAAACTAAAATAATGTAATACAATATTTTCTATTAAATTCTATTAAATTTTGTAGATAATATATTCTTGGGAGCCAACATCAATTATATCGGCTTTAATTGATAAAGGTCTTGAAGAAGCAACTCTTAAAAATCCTTTAAATAGTCGAGAAGAAAGTATATGGGAAATAGTAGGTTGTGGATTACCTTTAATAGAAAATTGTCTTCCTGGACCAAAACAACCAATAAAACAAATTAAAGCTGCTGTGCAAAGAAGATTAGCTCAGATGCTCGATCCTCCTGATCGTCATGGAAGAGATTGGTGTTTACTTGCTGTAAGATTAGGTTTGGGAGATCGAGTTGCTCAGCTAGATAGTACAGTAGACAGTCCAACATTGAGGTAAGTTATTTTTTTAATCATAACAATAAATTTTATATTTTATAAAATATTCATATTTTATCAAATTTATCATTTAATAGATTAATTAACACGGCTGGTGCTGATTGCACTGTAGGATCTTTAATACAACAATTACGAGCTCTTGATCGAGAAGATGCTGTACATTTATTACTCTCTTATACACCAACATATATATTATCAACAACTACTGACTCTGAGACAGGATCTAATCTTTCTAGATGACAATGTTGCATTTATCAATGGTGCATTAATACTTTCTGAGATATGAATTTCTGAAAGAAACTTTCATTCTTGTTATGGGTTTAATAGACTTATTACGTCACCGCTTCCGCCCAACGTAAATTGTGCATTGCTCTTAAGTACATAATTATAATATATTGTTTGTGTACTTATTTAGAGATATATTGAAATGCACATGCACTGATGTGTACTTTTATATCAAAATATTAGAGCACACTTTAAGCGGCACAAAAAGAGTTCTTTTAATATATTCCTTTTAATATATACATATACACTTATATATAGTTAAAAAGTTGCATAATTTACATTTCTGTATTTTTTTTATGAACTTTTATGATTCTGGAAATATATCATAATTTAAGTATAATTGTTAGTATAAAAAAAATATTTATAATTCTGTTTTTGTTATATTTGAAAATATTTACTTAACAAAAATCTACGTAAACAAAGTACTAATTTTTAATATTTAGAATTAATATTTAGAATTTTTTCTTAATTGTGAAATATTTATAAGCATTTGTATTGTGATATTATATTGTATGATTAACTACATTTTTAATCAAGTTTCTTAAGTAAATTTATATGTATTAGACAAAATAATTCTAAATAATGTGTATGCACGCGTAAATCATAAAACACGTTTACACACTATAATACAATATTATCGTATTTGATACTAATATTGTTTTGAAAGCTTTTCTTGATATGCATATATATTATATCTTGCCAAAACTCAGTGTTAATATACGCTGCTTTCTATGATATTTAGGAACTATTTATGCGAAAAAAGGAGTGAAACACTTCGCACAATTCTTTGCTTTTGGTATATTTACGAAAGTTCCATTCTTATATCGACATTTTTTACTAAATCAACATTCCTAAAATATTTATTATGTGCCATAAACAAAACTTGCTCATCTATACTTATCAAAAGGTGAAAATGTTTCTTTAAAAATTGATCCTTCTTTCGCTGCGTGAAAATAATTTTTTCGTAACGATATTTAAATTATGAAGGATCACTGTTCAAAACAATCTCAAATAGTGACAATGAATTTTGAATAATGATAATAATTGAATAAGATTATTTGTATTTTATAGGCACAATAATATTTCACAAGATATACTATTCATGTACAACGCGCATGAATGTATATTATTAAAAATATTATTAAAAATAAGTCAAATTTGTTGTTCATAGAAAACAATTCTTTGAACATATCTATTATGTATTAACTTTATCCAGTGGTCACTGCTTATGTATAGTCTGTTAAGTAGAAGATGATTTGTATTCTTATCTAACATAAATAATGTTTGATACAAATCTTAAATGTATGGAAATAATTGAATATGACACGTGTAAAATGTAAAAATATCACAAAAGTAATATCTCTAATTCATATCTTAAAAATTAGTTCTCATTTGTAAATTATATCTAAGATATTTTGGTTATCTCTGTGTTCTATTTTTATGCATTTATTATATGATGAAAATTTAATATAATGTTATACAATTATATATTCTCGAATCATCGAATTTTTTGGTATTGAATTATTTTTTGAAATTCATGTTCTCAGGTTTACATTTTTATGCACTGTGTTCATTTTATATTTACAAGTTTGAAATATGAAACTTTTTAATATTTTTAATGTAAAGAATTGTAAGGAATTATTTTCTTATTATGTATGAATTATGAACAAACATTTGCTTTTAAAAAAATCTGTTATTGCTCAGTATTGTTAATTATACAACATATATGTATATTTATTTAAGAAAAAACAATTTTACTGTTACAGAGTAAATGTAAAAACATATTCAATTTATCTAATAGTATTTGTGTTTTATAGCTTTTGCTTGGTACAACATAGAAACCGTTAAATAATTACATTTAAGATTAAATATAACAATATAACATTATGCGCAACAAGGACATTTTGCAGAATAGAAAATTAAAAAATATGGTAAATATAATATCAATAAGTTATTGTTATTTATATTTTGTAAAAATAGAAATATGATATTGTATGATTTTGTTGTGATTAATAATATTTAAAATTTTCTAGCTTTTATACTAACTTCGATGTTACACAAAATTTTTCTTTTTTAACTTGATCTGTAAATTTGCTTAAAATTTGCTAAAATATATTACATAGATTATAAAAAATAATAACTTGATAAAATATATCATTAAGAAATTATATCCTTCAAATTATAATCAAAATTGATGCGGAAGTAATATATTAGTGTTTTAAAAAATTCTTAAACTTTTAAAATAGTAAAAAAAAAAAAAAATGTAATATAGAATAGTTCAATAAATTTCTACATTGTGGATTAAATTCAAAGAAAAATTATTTAATTATTGCAAAGTGTCAAAAAGTTGCGTTAAATTTTATTTATCGTATATTCACTTAGTAGGATATATTTATATTTATTATCCATACTTTTGTAAAAAAAAAAAAAAAATTCAGCCAAGAGTAGAAGCGAATATGAATTCTGAGTAGAAAAACTTATATGCTGCGCATTTGTTTGTAACGTCAAAGAATGAGAAATACATTAGCTGAACGATATGTGTAATTATTTCTTTTATACTGGAAAAAAATGTCAATAAAATCATGTTGCTTCATAATCTTTATCATGAAACAATTATTGTCATACCATTTTTAATTATCGAGATAGAATTCCCGCGTTTCTAATGTACATTGGTACTCATTGTGCACGATATCGATTCGAATAGATCGAGTGTTGGTAGAAGCGGGAAAATTTAAATACTAGAAAGGTAAAGTGGAGAACACGGCGCGAAATTAGAAATTTTCCAAAATATCGGAAAATCGGAGAATGTTTATCTTACTATGGTATTTATGTAGACTAGGTTACGTAGTCGATAGGAAATAGGAACGGAATTCTTTCGAGCCGAGAATAGCATAAGAGAGGTGGAGATCGCGTTTCGTTGGTAGCCACTGCAGCGAGTAGCAATCAGCCAGTGAAGAGCCGGGATAAAATCGGGACGATAGCCAACAAGGCAACAAGCAATTATAGAATTGGATTGGATCGAGAAGTTCGAGGAGGCCTGCAACGCCGGTTTCGTTTTATTTTAGCTTAGCTTTCGAAGGCATCCGGTTGTACATTCTCATCGCGGATCATCGCCACGATTACAACAGTGAGTGTTGTCCCCCTTTTAACTCTAACTTGTCTTTTCTTCCACGTTGTTTGTTATTAAATGTAACTTATCGGTAAGTAGCAATGATTTGCAACTTGAACGAATATTGGGTCCCTTATTTTTAATATTGTATACTGTATACGAACAATAATGATAATGAAAGTAAAAAGTTCGTTTGATATTATATTAAATTAAAATAAATTCAGAGTTTGTTCCTTCATTGTTTTTTATTCAAAAGAATTGAAGATTTATTTTCATTAATCATTATTTCAGATGTATATTTTGTGTATTGATTCAATTGTAGTAGATATGGCGCGATTATAATCAGACCAACATAGAAATAACATCACTTTTAATTTATATATTATGAATCAAAAAATAAGATATATTAAATTTGTTAAATAGTTAATCAAATTAGATCTAATAATTATTAAATCATTGTTAATAAGTTTAATGAATTGATTAGGTTCAAATTACCGACGAAGGATAAACGATAAAAGGGTAGAAAAGCATAAATCGTCATCATGGAGGCGATTAAAAAGAAGATTGCGGCGTTGAAGCAAGAGATGGATGCCGCTAATGAAAAAGTAGAGGCAAATGAAGCGAAGGCGAGATCAGAGAACTTTCGTGCGGACAAGCTGAACGACGATGTAAGGGATCTGGCTAAAAAGCTCACTCAACTCGAACGAGATTACGAAGTGGCCAAAGCGAATTTAGAGCAATCCACCGCTGATTTGGAACAATGCGAAAAATCTTGGTCTAAGGTGCGTAAACACGTGTTTTAAACAGATTTACAAAAGTTGATAGTGTTTATATTCGATGAATGACGTTAACAGGCAGAGCAAGATCGAACTACATTGACCAAGAGGGTGCAAGAAATTGAGGCAACGTTAACGAAGAAGGAGGAATTACGTCTTACTGCTCAAACGAAACTTGGACGTGCATCAGAACTTGCGGATGATGCGCGAAGGTTTTTATTAAGAATTTCATATGATAGATAAAATTGGAATTTTCCTTTTTCTTCGTCATTTTTAAATTCGCAGACCAAAATATATTTTAATATATTTTAAAATACGAATAAAATTTAAAATTTTATTCGTAAAGATTATAGATATAATATTGGATAATAGATAATAATATTGGATAATTAGCATATATGTTTCAGTTTATCGATATGTTTTTTTTTTAGAATGTGCAAAGTATTAGAAGACAGAAGTCGGCTGGATGAAGAACGTATGGAAAAATTGATGCAAGAATTGAAAGATGCAAGATTAATTGCTGAAGATGCAGACGCCAAATCTGAAGAAATATCGAAGAAATTGGCGCTCGTTGAAGAGGAATTGGAAGGAGCCGAGGAAAGAGTGAAAACCAGCGAGGCGTTTGTATAATTATATAACATATTTTTAACTTATAGAATTTCTATAAATTTTTCTTTTACATTCTTAACATGTATTTACAGAAAAATCATAGAACGGGAAGATGAGCTTTTTATCGTGCAAAACATCGTAAAATCTTTAGAAGTATCCGAGGAAAAGGTAATTATTATAATTATCATTCATAAAGTGATAAATAAAAATTTTAAAATATAATAAAATTCAATTAATCCTACATCAATTTTTATTCTTTTATCTTTAAATTTATTTATTTAGGCTAATGCACGAGTGGAAGACTTCAAAATACAATTAAAACAGTTAAAAAAAAAATTGAGGGAGGCTGAGAAACGTGCCATTCATGCTGAAAGAACGGTGAAAAAATTGTTGAAGGAAGTCGATATGAAGGAAGGTATGATATATAGTATATTGAAATAAGAATTCAATTATGTTTTTTTTTTTTTTTTAAATAAGATTTTTTCAATGACAATTAAATTGTGTTTTAGATGAACTCAGAGAAGAAAAAGAAAAATACAAAGCGGTCTGTGACGATATGGATGCCACATTCGCAGAAATGACAGGATATTAAAATTACAGAAACGGATGGAGTTTCTTTTATTTTACTATTCTAAGCTTCTTCCGCTTATTCGCTACATTTAATAATGGACATCAGTCGGCTGTGTTCAGCTACGCTGATTTAATTCGTTGAAGTATTCGTCGTATAGTGTACTGTGAAAAAGAAAACAATTGAATGGGGCTTCAAATAATTATAATATAATTAATTCGATTATGAAAGAAGAAGAAATTATGCAATTAATATGGCGATTAAAAATTGATTAAACAGCTAGTTTTTGTTAATCGCTTTGCTTCAAGCTTAACACTTTGCTAAAGCTTCAAAGCCAGAGATAATTGAGCTTAGTTGCTTCAGAAACAAATAGTCTCTTTTCGATAGAATTAACAGCATCACCTATTTTTCTTTCAGAGACATTGAAGAGGAATTGCTGTACATGAAAACAAGTGCAATACCGTATCCCCTTTTTATCATTGTATGCCAAATCTGTATTTTCAATAAACGGTATTTAAAAAAAAATTGTTTACAGCGTGATTAATTAAAATAAATCCTATCGTATTGAAAATAATGTAAAAAGAAAAAATAAATAATAAAGATTTAAAAAAAATTTTTATTCTTGTAATAATTACATTAGTCATTTTTTTAATTATATTAATTAACTTTATATATAATATATAATTTTCATGTATTATATATAATATTTAATTTTCATATATACATATATATGTAACAAAAAATATAATATATAAACAAATTTATATATGATAAAAATAATTGAATCTATCTATATTACTATATGTATATTATTTATATATTATAAATATTATATTATTTATATATTAAATATTATATTATTTATATATTATATACATGTATATTATATGTATATTATATATCTATATTATTTAAAAATTATTTTTATTTTTTAGTTTAGTTTAAATGAATTCACAGAAACTAATTTTATCAGTTTCATTATTATTATTATTATTATTATTATTATTATTATTATTTTATGAGCAAACTTGATTTTTAATCATATGATTTAATCATATGAGATATATATATTATAAGAAATAATGTTTTTTAATACTGTTGTTATTTGTCTTTATTCCTCTTAATACCCGAATCTACAACTTTATGTCAATCGAACTATCGAAAGAACATAAACGTCTAGAGAAGTCGAGGAATTCGTTTGCGTCTAACTAAAGAAATGGCCTATTAGGTTCTTTTGCATTTCTTTGAGTCTATAAAGCATTGTTCTCGTCGGTCACGGAGTGCAGTAACCCGCGAGCTTTGCTTTGAAAAACCTAAGAATTATTTTATCTTTACGAATTTTGTTTGTTTTAAAATAATTAATACGTAAGATCATAGTTTTTTTTCACGAATATGCAATAAAATAAAATATATTTATAAAATAAAATGTTTTGTTCGACTTTGTTCTACTTTAAAGTGTGAAAGTGCTATGAAACGAATAATTATATTAATGATAATGAATTGGTGTAATATTGAGCTAAAAAACAAAAAAGTGTTTCTGATATTTGAGTTTTTGAATTTGCAATAAAAATCGCTAACGTTCAATATTCAATTTTTCTTTTATAAAATATTGATTCATGCGTATCGAATATTTCCATTTATATTAAATATTATTCTAATGTCATTTGATAAATGATCACGTATATTTCGATTTTTCTCTTTTTGAAATATTTATTTTTAAAAAACAAGATTCGCGAAATATCTTCCAAGATCTACATTTTTGCAATTTTTTCAAAACTATTAAACATATATTTTACATGTTTTATAAAAAATTCACTTCTTAATTATAACAATTTATTATACACAATATCAATTTAATATTTTTTATTAAATATCGATTGAATGTTTAATTAAAAAAGTTCATTATATCATATTGACAATGTTTCATTTTTATTAACTTAAATTTTGTACGAATTTTTTACATAGTTTCGCGTCGAAAAATTGATTATCAAAGTCATGAACGCGATAAAGAAACGCTTGCAAATGCTGAAAATCGAGAAGGATCTGGCAATGGATAAGGCCGATCTATGCGATCAGCAAGCAAAGGAGGCGAATCGACGAGAAGAAAAATTGAGAGATGAGGTTCGGGAACTTGCAAAGAAATTGGTACAAATGGAACGCGACTTGGAATTGAGCAAAGCCCAATTGGAAAAGTCGAATAGAGACCTCGAGCAAAAAGAAAGAGTTTATATTGTGGTTGGTGATTTGTACAAATATATAATTCAATATATTCGTAACATTTTTATGATGAATTTTGAAGTTTTCCAATCTTTTTTCAATCGTAATCTCTCTTTTTTTAATATTTAAATAACTCTTTTGTAATCTTTTTTGTTATATAAGGATAATTAAAAAATTAATAAATATAGTGCTGTTGAATAACTAGCAACATTGCTTTAAGTTAACTAATAAAACATTATCTAATTGCAATATATAATTAATTATATTAAAATATGATCTAAAAATCATTAGATAATCAACTAAAATGACAATAAAGATATGTTTGTAACTCATAAGGGGATCATATAAGATTGAGAATAACTGATTTTGATTATTAAAAACATAATTTTAACGATTCTTGTCCTATTGAATGAGGATAGACGCAATCCGAGTTGGCAGTTTTGAACAGAAAGATGCAGCAATGCTTGCAGAATTTGGAGAAATCGGAAGAACGTCGTTTAACGGCACAAGCTAAATTGGCACAAGCGATGGAAACCGCGGAAGATGCGAAACGGTTTGTTCTATGTGAAAAAAAAAAAAGGGAAGAGTATGATATACGTTTGAGATTTTCCTTGTGGTAAATTATTATTTTTAGCATCTGCAAAGTTTTGGAGAATAGAAGCAAACAGGACGAGGAAAGAATGGATCAACTGATGACTCAGCTAAAAGAGGCGAGGCTAATTGCTGAAGATGCTGATACAAAATCGGACGAGATCTCGAGGAAATTGGCTTTTGTGGAGGATGAATTGGAAGCGGCTGAAGAGAGAGTAAAATCGAGCGAAGCGTATGTAGAATGAAATCGTAAATTATTTTGGATAAATTTTAGTCTCGTTCTTATTAATTTCGTCTATAACGATTCACAGAAAAATAATGGAACGAGAGGACGAATTATTCATTGTTGGTAATATATTGAAATCTTTAGAAGTATCCGAAGAAAAGGTAAAATTTTATTTAACCTTGTTCATTGATGCATATTTTAACAATATTTTCTACATTTCATAGGCTAATCAAAGGGTAGAGGAATTTAAAACACAGTTAAAGGACTTGAAAGTGAAACTGAAAACTGCTGAAAAGAGAGCCATCATTGCGGAAAAGATGGTAAAAATGTTCTCGAAAGAATTGGATGCGAGAGAAGGTATGTTTCGTTTCATGATTTTTTTTTTATATTTCCCGAACTTTTTCTTTTCTGCATTTACAATCGTGCTTTTCGTTCTTTCAGACTTTCTATTTAGAGAGAAAGAAAAATACAAATATATTTGCGACGACATGGACTCCACGTTCGCTGAACTCACCGGATATTAACTTTTGTAATATCAAACTCTGCTATTTTCTACATCAGTATGTTTCTATTAAAAATTATACCCAAATATTTCACTTTTTTTCCACATAATATTTAAATTCAATTATAGATAAAATAATTATCTAATTATTAATTTAATATATTTAAATATATAATATCTATTTACTTGTAACGAATAAATATATCAATATCTATTTATCTATAAAAATAGATATAATAATATATATTTATTTAAAAAGTAACTTATTTTTAGATCAATTGTTAATTATCAAAGGGTAGCAAAGAAACGACAAGAATAATTTTTGTACGGTACTTTACAGGATATCAATTTATTTTATCGATACTACGATCGACACAATGCTTCGAAACGCCACACCACCGACTTGAATACAATTTCAACCAATGGCATAATAGCCACACATCGTTTCACAGCGATCGTTTAAAACATAGAGAAAACAATCGCGATTTTCTCAATCACGGGATTTTTCCTTCCGCACGTGGCTATGCCACTCAAGAATAGAATCTCGATACGCAGACACACTCTTCACATTCGCGTCACTTTTCCTCTTTTTTTATCTTTTTTCTTTCTTCAGTTCTTTATTATTATTATTACTTTTTTTTTTTTTACAACGATGCTAATAGTTACAATAATAATTGTTCGTTTGATTTGCTCACTTCTCACGCTTTTGTTCATTCGCAAAACGCGGTTCATCAAATCGGTGACGTAATCTTCAAATATTAAATCGATAATCGAAATAAAGATACGCAATTGCTTTCGTACGAAGAATTTTCGATCGTGGGAAGTTTGATTAATTCATATGATAAGATAAATCAATACACGAGAAAAATGAGAATAATTAGCGATAGAAAGTCCATCATCGATGAAATTTTAATATTATTTAATAACGTTGTACAACTTATGCTTATCTAAAAATCCTTTTTCTATATTTTATCTTTATATCTTATTTTTTTTTTTAATACTTATAATTGTATACGACTAGTTTGGATTTTTCAGAAGGACGTAAAATCTTACATCTGTTAGCGATCGATTCGATGAACTTTTATCGCTTTTGTTTGTTGAAATTTCTTGTATTATGTTCGATAATAAGTCGCAAGAACATCGATTCATTTAATATCTCGAGACGTTCTAAGTAACATCACCGTTATTAAAACTAAAACATACAGCATCGTGAGGGTCGTTTGTATCCCAACGATTAACGCGGTGAAAATGATTCGCAATATAGGGCGTGTTTCTATGGAATTTCCGGCGCTTTTCTTATTTAATATCATATAAACCTCCTTTTTCGAGATTAATAAATATTTATTAAATATTTATTGCATCTTTCATCTAAACGTAGTTATTTCAAAACTAGGCCAGTTTTTTATACTCCTCTATGGATCTATAATTATGACGTAATTTAAATGTTACTTACAATGTACAATATTTATTGATTGACAAAAAAATGAAAATAAAAATCCATTTCTTCAAGATTAATAATTTCGAAATGTACATGTGTAATTGTTAAGAATTTTTTTTTTGATTGGAGCCAGAAATTCCTAGAAGAAAAAATCGAATATCAAAAGAAAAATGGAAAAATGTACAGAGTCCTCGTTGAGCGGACATCAGTCAGTCGGTGACATAAGAAAACATGTACAAAAAGTTTATTATCGCAACGATGAACGATACCCGCTTCCCGATAAGGATCTAACAAATTAATCGAACTCTACGAGTTTGATTGACGTGCTTCTCAATATATACATTCATGTATGTTAATCGTAATGCATGCGCTTACACGCGCTTTAAGTACATATATATATTTATATAAATTTATATATACGTATACCTATGCCCTCGTCTTCGCAGTGTCGCGCACGGAACTTAATCAATGAAATTCACGAATAAAATCATCGATCATTTAATTTTATCATAAAATTCGTCGAAAAAACGTTTTCTAAAATCTTAAAAACC